TTTGTTGGGGGGGGCTGGGGGGGGGTGTGTTGAAACCTGTTAGTAGATTCTGGCCATTTACGGTTAATAGGTAAACCTCTGAAAAGGACGAAAAGCTGGGCGCTGTCATGGGGGGTCTGTGCCAATGCCAAAAACAAAAATACAGTGGAGACAGGGTCTAGCTTATACAGCTTACAGGGCAACATGGAAATACACAATCCTACAAATGACAGGTTTGTGGGATGCCTTAAAGCTGTAAATTTTTGAACCAGCATGATTTGAAGGGACCTTCTCAGTCACAGCAAACTTTGGCCTGAAATTGTTTTCAGGTGACTTGACTGACAGACATAGTAGCCTTTAATTGTTCGGTCAAAAGAAAAGGTGGCACTGATGATGTACCTTATCACTCTTCCTCCACTAATCGCGCCAAAACCCTTTGAAACTGGCTACGACGGGATCCAGTAGAATTGTGCGAGTACCCCATTATTTCTCCCTCTCTCTAATTATCCTTAACTATCTGTCTTATCTTTCTATTGACCTAAATTATCAATCCCTTTGGAACCACTCCCCCTAATATCTATGTCTGCCACCCCCCTTTAAACTGTTTTTGAGCTTTCCATTTCTGCCTTGTTGCATGTGAAGTCTTTTATATCTCTCCTATTGCTCTTAGGAGGAGGACTGGTAATGACAAAACGATAAAGAGAGCGGAGCAAGAGAGGGTGGGGTTAGAGCCTGTCATTGTTCTTGAGGAGTCCTTGCTCCAGGCAGAGGACAACAGTCATACAGCAGCACCATTCTTTAAAGGGCCAGCAGCTGGTGTTTTCCAAAAGACTGCATGCAGGTGGCAAAGAGGAGGGAGCAGGATATTCTCAATGGAGAGATAGAAGTGAAAAAGCAATGGTGTGCTGGAAAAGAGAGTGAAGGGATGCCACTACACTATAACCACTCCTAATCCTGGTAATCCAAGCCCCATTTTCTTCAAGCTGTTTCAACCGCAAAACCTCTTACATAATCTAGTGGCAGAGAGAACACATTTTATAACACAGGGGTAAGGGCAGACAGCAGCAAACAGATCTGCAGCAGCAAACATTAAATGTAAACTGTATAGTCAAGCCTAAAAGGAAAGGTAGAGGTGCTGCCACATGGAGGTAGTAGGTGCAGAGCATTGCCAATATGACTTCTTCCTCCTTCTGCTCCTCCTCCCCTTTTTTTCATGTCTTTCTCCTTCACCTTCCCCCTTTATGTCATTATGGCAAAAGCAGAGACTCTGGAGAGCTGATATTTTTTTTTCCACCCCACCAGTGGCTCATCATCCAGGAAGTCTGCACCATTCTGGCCCCTTTTGAATTGGTGACTAAACTGGTGATCTGCTATAAGGAAGGAATTAGTGGCACAACTACTCATGTCCCTCCTAGAGCACAAACTGCATGGTCTGATAGATGGGACCACTGCAACACTACATTCAGTGCAATACCTCCCATATATAGCACATAATTCCTGGGTTTAGGGAATTATGACACCCCACCATATCCAGTAACAACCGTCCCATGCCAAGTTAACCTTCCCCAAGTTGCTGGTGTGAAAGAAAAAAAGCTGTTTGGCAGAACTGCTGCTATACCAGCTGGTTAAAACAGCCCCTTTCCTCAAGTTTATGGGCTCTATCATCCCACAGTAACATATTTCCACCTGCCAACATTTTTGTTATGTTTTTAACATTTAACATTATTTACCAATTTACTTTTTTAAAATATTTTCTTTTTTCATACCTTTTAAACTATCACTTGTTTTCTGGTCAATTGTTCCTTAATTGTCTCTATGATGCCTTTATTGTTAGTACAGTAAAACAGCTGCCTTGTGTCTGAGCCCTCCTTTTCTTTTCAATCTGCTCACAAAACTTCCCTGCTGCTGGGTAATTTTTTATTAGGTGTCTGAGATTTATCAAAATACCTGCCTTAAGCTGGTAATATTTTCTTCAGTGAACTTGTGGGCTGAAAGAAAAAAATATAACAGATTCCTTCATCCACATTAAACAGTATAGATGGACGAATCCCCCACTGTCTCCACTGTATACTAACAACGGGTGCTGGCCGCTGTCAGGATACCTGAATGGTGCTTGCAGTTAGTTGGCTGCGAGATCTGTTTGACTAAAGATTTTTCAACCAGCTGCTTCAATGTCCTGATCAAGGGATGCCGGCCGGAAGGGTGCCTTCATTAGGAACCAGCCACATTTTGTATAGTGTATACCCTACTTTAAGCTAAATGTGGTTCCACATTTAGCCTATTCTACTTGGTCACAGTTATGTACTGTCCAGCTACTGGCCAAATTTTTACAAGCTTAAGCTTTGATATATTTGGGTAAACATCAGGGGTTGCGGTGCATCTGGGGTGAAGGTATGCATTGTTTTGGGTGCACAGTGCTTTTTTGTGTGCCTTTTGTGTGTTTACCAAAATAAGAATATCAAATTTGATTATTTGTGTAGTTTTTTTTAATATATATTTCAGAACTGGAATGTTTAAACAGAGTAATTCAATTTTTTTTATTACATAAAAGGTTCATAGACAGGAATTCTATATTTATTGGAAAACTGGTGGTTTATTACTGTGATATAATGAATATTCTATTTATTATGCTTTTACAATGATTTTTAATAAAATATGTTTGTTTTATAGATGTGTTCAGAGGTCAAAGGTGTGGGTGTTTTGAATCATATTAAAATGCATTACGAAGGGCAAAGGTTGCCAGACATGT